GGGGGGGGGGCAGCTGTCGATGTGTACACTTGAATTTTGTTTGTTGTACAACTCGGCTCTACAGACAGACCTCAGTATTTAATTTTTATTTCAGATTTCTGAACAGCGTTCCACAGAATTCGGTTCAAGAAACAGGTGTGTTAATGCAAACTGTGTGCGTGAGTGTAAGGTGCCGATGAGAATTGGTGGAATTTTTTTTTTTTGTGGTGAGGTGGCTGACCTGTATGTCTTTTATGTCACTTTGAAATTTTAATTGGACATGTGATAACTTTCTCTGAATAGATCGGATATTGTATTTTTTTTTCCTTTTTGCGATCATATAAAGATTTCAGACACTTAAAAAAGGCAATTTTACAATTAAATGTAGAGAATAAGCTACAATGTTGGTTTGCCTGAATTTAAATCGGCAGAAGTGAAAAATGTGGCGAATATAAACGATGTTGATCTTAGTTTTCAACCAAAGTGGTCTTAATTGTTATTTGAATAATGATAATAATGTAACTCGTTTGAAAGTTCTGTTCCATTGATTGAATTTATCAAAGAAGAAAAACAATTAGTGATAGGACTTTTGTTTTTAGGAATTTACAGAGTAATAATAATAATAATTTGTTGTGATTGCAGCTAGAGGAAAGTTTTAAAATTGGTGGAGAAGTTCAAATGAAGTCCGATGACTTTGTAGGCACACGTCCTTTCTTGGCTTCTCAAAATAACTCCGCTGTGTGGAGTTAGAATTATGTACGACAGATAAAAAATTTATATAGCGCCGTAACCCCGGGGGCTGTAATTCTCAAACCTCTGATAAAAGTACCTTGTGTGTTTTGTTAATTGATTTTTTTTTTTCAAACGCCCCGTAAAATTAAATCCCAAATACGCAATCCCTGTTGAACATCCCAAATGAAGTGACGAAGCGACCGACTTCTGTTCAGATCTCATGTCGGACAAGGTAGCTGCCTGAAATACCGCTCACTGAAGTCTTTATTATTCCATGGACACGATTCGAGGATAAATGGCTTAAAATCAGCGTGGAAAATAGAGTCTTCGTTCGTTTTAAGGATGACTTAAGTAATCGTCTATCTGATGTTCCTTGATCAGTGACTAACTTAATGACGTCTTTCAACTCCTTAGGTTACGTAGCGTTACATAGCAGAATAAATTATGGATTGGATGCTGCAAATAAATAAATAAATAAATCAGAAGTGTATATTTTAATATATCCCTGTGTTTTGCCCTGACGTACTGATCAACTTTGTCGCGATAATCGGACACCGGTCCCGGATTCGAACTTGTGACATTCAGAGTACGTAGCAGGAGTGCCAACCACTTGACTTCCACACTTTTTATTTCCCTCTTATTCGACGCTAAATTACCGCTGTAGATAGTTGTTAAATATCACCCTGTTAAGTGCCGTGATTGTAGAAGTAAGACGTTTTATAACTGTGTAGCTGTCTGTCCGTCTGTCATCTCGAGGATTTGAAGGAGAAACCAGAGGTTTATTGTCCAAATGTCTGCTAGGTAGAGGAAATATCGAGATACGAAGTCCCAGCATCTAACGAACCTAGTAAGTAATGATATAACTGTTCTGTCTGTCCAAACCAGACCCCTGTGTCAACCCTTCTACAGACAGACAGACAGACCCCCCCCCCCCCCCCCCAAAAAACGGAGAAATCAGAAGGAAATCAGGACGTGGAATGGGAGGAGAGAGAAGAGATGAAGAGAGGAGAAGTGGAGAGAGGGAACAGAAAATTGTTAGAAACGAATTACGTCAAGGAAAAAAGAAGAAGAAGAATTGGTTTGAAGAGGAGATATGAGACGTCAGGCCCAGAGGGAATTGTGCTTTTTCGTTCTGGTGAAGTGAAATTCGTCAGTCGGTGACTAAAATGGCGGAGTAAATGTTAAAGCGTAAACTGTCATCATCATCAAATACTGTTAAGATGATCAAATAGAGGACGATGGACAGAACATGCAGCACGCACTGGGGAGATAAAAAAATGGAAAGCACGAAAGGCACAGACCACTCGGAAGACCTAGGCATAGGGGGAATGACAATATTAAAATGGATTTTGAAGTAATTGGATGGGAGGATCGGGTTCATCCCCTCTGGGTGATAAATGTAGCTTTTGGGGGGGGGGTGGCAGGGTGGATCGCCATACATACTTCATATCGGTAGTAGTTGGGTTAGGGATGAATCCCGAGGGTCATCTATTAGCGCTCTCCACGTCAAGATAAGCATAATTATCCCTGTGGGATGCTGCGACGTGTAGTTTCGTAGAAACTGACCGACGTTTCGGACATCATGCTTGCTGCTCGCGTCATCAGAACGATGTTGATAGTACGCATTTATGAAACGTCGATTAGTGACTTTTAAAAGCTCACATTAAATTCTAGGTTTTCCAGAAAATCTGTCAGATTCAAGTTGTTGAGTGAGGAAATTTAAAAATAAATGTAACTCCTTTTGTGTAAATTTTACCAATAATTTATATTTGAACGTATACTATTGATATGACAGCTTGTCATTTTAATAGACATTGTTAAAGATGAAAAAGAATTATTATTACTTGTCAAAAATAATGCCCGTAGGGGTTTCGTGGCCTTTTGGTTCGACGGGAAATTTATTTTTAGTCAGAGGGAAAAAGAAGTTGAAACACCCTGAACTGGATAATGTGACGTAATTGGGTTTACAATAGCGTAGGTTACTTTCTGGTACTGTGCAATGCTTGTGAAGGCAGTAACTTTGAAAAACGACGATGTAGATGTCCGATTTTCGGGGATTCGAACCGGAAATCTTCTAGTATGAGCTCTGATAGTGAGTACAAGATAGTCACTGGACCCTATTTTTATCTATATGTTCAGCAAGAAGATTAAATTAAAATGTATATATGCTAGGTGTTTTATAATACGGTTGGTAGCACTGAAACATGTAATAGAACAACGTTTTTGAAATCAGTCTACCTGATTTCTGTTGAAGTTTCTGCAAGGACAAATAAGAAGAAGAGAAGGGAATTTGTCTTCTAGCTGTGGTGGGAATTTGCCTGAGTTCTCCCTGACTGCTGATTGCGATCCACATAGCTGGAGTCCGTGGTGGTATGCGCATGGAGGTCAACTGCATTGCGCAAACGCAAAGAGGGTTGAACATTACCTCTGTTATCTCTCCCCTCATTCACATACGTTCCCCTTCTACTACTTCCACCCCTGCTCCCAGTTGCACCCCCCTCTGACGGCGACCAGCGGAGTTAGCGGAAGTGTCAGCTTCGCGCTCAGAAGCAGAGTGAAATGGCGAATTTGAGGTTGTGTTTTCATAAAATATGTTGTTTTGATTGACTTCAAGCACGCTTGTGTTTCGAAAAGTAAGTTAGTGAAGTTGTATAATGTGTATAATACATCATTCATAAACTGTGTACACTGAGGAGGCTTCAGATTATCTACATTTTAACATTCAGAGAAAAACATTATCGGTCAGTAAACATTAAGTATGGATACTTCCTTCGACCACAGTGAAGCCGAGTGACGAGAAACAAATGAAGGATGCATCGTTGTTTTATTTTACTGCTGAACTTCGGTTTGTGTTTGCAAATTGTGTTAATAAGCGTGTTACTCTATAGGAATTACATTTCGAATTTTAATTAAAGTGAAGGAATCTTAAGATGGGGAATTGACATGTAAACGACAAGACAGTTTTAACGTCTTTATCCGATACAATTACGCCACCTTCATGTACTTAAACTACTACGAACATTTAGTGTTTTTGTGGAACATTTGCAAGTTTCGTTCCGGAGCAAACCGTCAAGTAGAATGTGTGAATTTTAATTTATATTAAATTTCGTTACATTTCCCGTGTAACCGTGGAAAAATTATTTAATGCGTTAATTTTTAAGTATGAAAACAAACTTCGAACAAAAAAATTTTACGCTATAGAAAACTCTCGTGTTTGACTGTAAATAAGATGTTTTTGCGCTGAGAACACAATACGTATGTGCATATTGAATAACATAGCATGGTAGGGTATGTTTTGAATTAATAACATTGATAGACAGATGTTTTGTGAACAGGTGTGAGGATGTAACATTTTTTTTTCACGTGTTATTTTGAGTGCGAAATTTAAGTAAGAGAAGTGGTTTAGGTGGTGCGTGTGTGTGTGTGGTGGGAACACAGAAAAAGTGCGTCAGCCTGCGTATTACAGCCCAGTGGATGTCAGACGGCACAGCTGGAAGAGAATATCACATATAAATGGAAAGAAGCTCATCTCGAATGTACCTGGGAAGGTGAGTACCAATCCACAACGTGTCTAGTTTTAATTTTAGGTTTTTTGTATCATATGGAGAAGTATAGAATATAAATACACCCATCCCTATATTTGCAAACGTAATTCGTTCAATGAAAACTGCTCGCAAGGTGAAGATTCAAAAATCTAAAATTAGATTCTCGTAATTTTCAATGAAAAAAAAATATACATCTCGGTTCTCGACGCCCAGAAGAATCACCAAATATTTTCCCCACATTTGTCAGATTTATGTAGAATTATAAAAATAAAAACATACAACTTTTTATAAAAATTATTACAAATTGAACCCTGCATAAAATTCTATAATGTCAAACCAAATGTTTACATTGTACAGCAGTTGCTGCAGTTAAAACACAAACACCAGAACTTATGTGAACAAATAATAAAACAATTATCTTTATTAAAATGTTAATTACTCTACGTATATTAATCACAAAGGGTCTGTGATAAGTAACTAATTCTTTCTTAGTTGAGAAAATTATGTTTATAATTTCAAAAACAGGTAAAAATTTACATGAATCTTTGTAATGAACATTTGTAAATGGGAGCTTTGCAAATACACAAGTAATACACGTTGATCGTGTTTGACAGTGTTTACTTAACATTTCATGTATCGTTTGTAAACAAATGAGGGAACCTGACTCTAAATTCTGCTTTAACTGGTAGCTCGCATCATGTATTCGTTACACCAATCACTTCGCAACCAAAATCATATGTGTGCTTATTTGTTATCGATCCCATGCGGGCTACATGCTCCGCCCATCTCATTGTCTTTGATTTGATCGTCATGATAGTATTTTGTGAAGCTACAAATTATGGAACTCATCATCACTTACTTTTGCCAGTCTCCTGTCACTTCGTCTTCGGTGTCATTATTTCCTTGACACCCTGTTCTCTAACATCCTCAATATCTGTTTATTTCATAATCCAAGACAGAGGAAGACTCGTAGGGCGTGCGTATGTATGCTTTATTCGATTTTCTTAACTCTCAAAAGCCTAGTGGTAATTACAAGTACCACCTCATTGAACAATTAGTGACTTTGCATTTTGTCTACAAGGCATGTGTAATCTGTTGCTAGATACCGATTCCTGTCTGAACTTACCAAATATGAGTGAATCGATCTCCATCACCACAATGGCGTAGCATTATAATAAAGTTTGTAGTGTCTATATAAATCGCTCTATGCATTATACCGTAGATATGTTGTCTAGCGTCTAGATGACCTTGAAAACTTTAAATTTTTTATCATAATTTAAGAGTGTGTAGTAGTTATAATTTTAGGAGCTGGTTCGTTCCTAAGCAACGTTTAACGCCCTCTGTACCTAGTGGAGAGTATATTTATGCTTAAAATATAGATTTTGTAGCAGTTTCATCCCTGCCCCTTAAATTGCACGCCTGTGTTTCATGTGTTTGTATTTTAATACAGTTCCCCGATAAGGTTTACTGGTTACCAAACAGCGTAATACTTCTTTTTTATAACTCGTTTTGAAATTGTAAACTGCAGCCATGGTCATGTATCTGCATAGAACGCGACCTGATACCATACGCGATGACAGGGTGTTTATTACGCGGGGTCTCACAACACTGCGTATTATGTAACGAACAATAAGTTCACTGATACTGATGCTGATCTTAGTCTCGGCGCCGTGTAGATTCGTCGGTAGATGCCGACGTTTCGGAGAAACATTGTGGCTCTGTTAAAAATATTGAATTTAATACAAGACGTAAATTTATAAGATATTGTAATTGCGTCATATTGTGATTCGTAATATTAAAATATATATTAAAAATTATTACAGTCACTCACAATTATAATAATAAAATAATATTAAAAGATTTAAAACATCATTTAGATACACTACTAGTTTCGGCTACATTCAGCCATCGACGGGTGTATGCAGTATAAACCTATGACCATTTACTGATTTTTAACGTTATCCATATTTCACTGTCTTCATTCTTGATGGTGTTTCTGTCCTTTACCGTTTTTTGGTTTGTTGCACTATCATTAGTGATTACTAGGTTTATGTTTTGTACTTTGTGTTGGCATCATTTTTGTGTATTACTGTGAATTAAAGTTTTAATTCCATTAATGACAATTGAAATTAGAAAATAGAAATATAGAAAACAAAATAATTGGTAAAAATAATTGGTAAAAATAAATAAATAGTAAAAATAATAAAAATAAATATGTAAACTCACCTAAGAAGCAATATCACATTCGTAGTAAGAGAAACGGAGAACACTGGACTGATGTTTTAAATCTTTTAATATTATTTTATTATTATAATTGTGAGTGACTGTAATAATTTTTAATATATATTTTAACATTAATACGTGTATGTAACGAAATCCCAAGGGACTTGAACATTATAAGTTTCGAATAGTTTTCATGTAAGAGAGGCAATAGTTTTTCGTTAAAAACTGAACATCAAGCCTGCATAGCCGATATATTTATAATCCAAAAAATAATTGTCAGTGAGTCTATACTTTACAGAACACATTTTTAGTTTCATTCGTCCTGTTGTCATATTTCTCCCTTTCTTTACTGCTCCAATTTTTATTTCTATTTGTTCTTCTTTCTCGCTTTACAAGAACTTTCCCCATCAAAAAGACGTAAAGTTAAATTATTTCGTATGGATGAATTATAATAGCATTTTAGATAATTCTCACATGACGCTCCGGTATAATCTTATTTTGTTTCGATGTTCAGTACTGAGGATGGAGACAGTATGTCTCACCGAATCGTTTACATCTACCGATGACTCAGAACTGTGTCAAAACCCAGAAGAATATTATCTTCCTCACCGCCGCGAGAACCTCAGATCTTACCAAGTGCACTGGCCGATCGCTAAACAAGGGAAATCTACGATCTGCCTTCGTCACAGTAGTAATTTTACTGACGTACTACCAAGGAAAATTTTAGTTGTTAACTTTGATCTGGTATATTTCTTAATGACTTTCATGAATTCACTTGTCGTTCAAATTCTGTTAAACTTTTTTTTTTAAAAAACTTTCAGTTCTACTTTTATATGAAAAGTCTGGAAATATCGGTACTTCTCATGACTTTGGCATACTTTCAGCTTGTTGATCCGTTATCAATTATACTGTCGCGAAAAATTTTACCTCTTGAGTGTGCAGAGGTCTCGAATATTTTAAACGCTAGCTGCAAGCCTCCGTATTCCCTCGTGGCACTCCTCATAGACGCAGGGTCGCCGTACATTTCAGAATTTTCCCACAACAACGCGCAGCGTAGGACAGTAAGATACCGGTAGTGGGAAAATTTCATTTCTAAAGTTGTTAGCATTCACGCGTGATTTTCCTTTGAGCCACGATACCTCTCACTTTGGCTTCGTATTTGAGACGTGCCGGGGTTAAAATTTTGACCCAGAGACCGACCATTTTGACTGAGGTTCCTCGTGACTTTCTTCAGTGTCTTTAATTAAATATCTGGGCAGGATAAAATCTACAAACGTGCCTCGACTTACGACTGAAATACCATCAGGAAGAAGGGAAGTTGGTAGACATAAAGTAAGATGGTGGAAACTCTTAGGAATTAGAGACTATGAAAGCAGCGAATAATTGCGAGAAACATAAATCTGCGTGAACGTTAGTGCGGTATTGTGTTAAGAAGATGGATGTCTTCTGGGTTGTTGCGCTGTGTAGTCTGGTAGAAGTTTATCGACGTTTCAGAGGTCCTTGCTGTCTCCATAATCAGGGCGATGGAGGCAGCAAGGACCTCTGAAGCCTCGGTAAACTTCTACCAGACAGCACGGCCCAACAACCCAGACGACAGCCATCTTCAGACTCACCGCCGTGGAAAACTCAAATCCCACGGTTTTGTGTTGATTTTAAAGATCTAGAATAAATGTTCCTCGATCGATCTTTTCCACTGAACTTCAGTTTCTGACACGCCTCGGGAGTTTTTGGATTTCCGAAGCGCTTGTTCAGTTGAACTAACTTTCACGAACCCTCGCCCCGCGTGGTTACGAACATTATGCTCAGCGGAATTTAATGAATAACTTAATAAAGTGGAAATTATCCGTTGTGCCGAAACTTAAGAAATTCTGGAATGTTCCGACACAGTCAAGTAAATTAAACGTGGACCACAGTTTATCCCCTGGTCTCGGGTTTTAGTTTTCTCGGCCGCTCGAAGCCTGGAATAGCGACTTCGAATCTCGCTCGAGGCATGGGTGTGTTCTCCTATGTGGGCAGATGGGCTTATCCCCTGGCCAGGGCATCCTACCAAATGTGAAAGAAACAGCTGTTGAATCCTGACAGAAAAAAGTCTTCAGAAAAGCAAAGGATCTGTGTCTTAGCAGCTGATGATCAAGGCTAAAGATCTCTATATCCTTCTTCCTTTGTGAGATTTGAGGTTCTCACGGCGCAGAAATTGAGGATGGCTGTTCTCTGGGATGTTGCGCCGTGTAGTCTGGTAGAAACTGACCGACGTTTCAGAGGTACATCTTGCCTCAATTATTGCCCTGATGATAGAAGCAGTAAATACCTCTGAAACGTCTGTCAGTTTCTACCAGAAAACTCAGTAACGATCCAGAAGACAGTTAAATGCGTCAGTCTTGATTTATTAGTTTCGTTTCCCTGCCTTTTGTAACACCGAGATGGTTTCATGTGTCAGACGTACAGACGAAACTTAACCCTTTGAAACAAAGGGGAGAGAGAGAGTTAGAAAGAGGGTAGAAGTACAGTCGCAGAAGAAAACATTGGGGAGACATGATAGACACTTTTCGGAGGACGAAAGTTTTATTACGTTTGTAAGGTTCCCAGACTTCTTCCGCTCGTCCTGGTAAGGATAGTATAAAAAAAATGAAGACCGACGACTGGTTCCAAGCCTCTGTCGTATCAATCCAGCCCTTAAATTCACACCCAGTTTATTTTAGATCCATTTAAATACTCTCATATTTACGCCTAGATTTTCTAAACTTTATCTTCTCCAGGTTTCCGTACCAAAATTTTGCACG